TATAGATTAAAATGAAATTTTCTAATTATTATTAGATAAATTTCTGTGGTTAAAAAAAAATATTACGAAGATTAAAATATTTCTAATATTTATTTTTTAAGTACTTTTATCAGTGCACTCATTCATTCATTTTTGATCATTCTGAATGAGAAATGTATATTCTTACTGTATGTTCATCTGCATTTAGCAGGTATATTCGACTGCATTTTGCAGTTATGTTCGATTGCATTTAACAATTATATTCAACTGCATTAAGCAGGTGTGTTTGTACTTACTGCGATTTTTGGTATGTTTGATTGCATTTAGCAAATATATTCATCTGCATTTAGCAGATATGTTTGTACTTACTGCGATTTTCATATGCACTTTTTAAGTGCAGGCAAGCCTTTTAAATTGTTTCAATTATGTACCAAAACTATACATTTTTATTCCAAAACAATAATCTCTCTACTTTTATATATAATAAATAAAAATATATTAATCATCTTCATATATTACTTATTATTTCTCCTCCATACATCACTTATAAAATCTTTCTTTAAATATTTATATGTAGTAAAAATACTTTCTCCCACTCTCTCTTATAAACTCATTAATTCTCTTTCATTTGGTATTTATTCATATATAATTTTGGAATGAAAATGTATATTCTGGACATATTAATATGCACTTATGAGTGCTGGCTGCCATTTGTTTTATTTCATTTATTTAGCAAGACTTATACTTTCCTAATCAGAATGATTCAAACTAGTTTCTCATTGATTTGCACTATGTAAATATAAATCAATTATTATATATAGATTAAAGTGAAATTTTCTAATAATTATTAGATAAATTTCTTTGGTTAAAAAAAAATATTGGGAAGATTGAAATATGTTAAATATTCATTTAATTAGTACCTTTATTAGTGCACTCATTCATTCTTTTTTGATCATTCTGAATAAGAAATGCATATTCTTACTGTATGTTCATCTGCATTTAGCAGGTATGCTTGTACTTACTGCGTTTTRTATATGCACTTTTCAGTGCAGGCATGTACTTACTGCGATTTTCATATGCACTTTTCAATGCTGTYATGTACTTACTGCGATTTTGATATGCACTCTTCAGTGCATTCAATAAGAATGATTCAAATTTTTTTTTTATTAATTTGTTACTATTAAAAAAAAAATCAATGATCATATATTCAAAAAAAAAGAAATGTATAAATAGGATAAAAGACTATGTGAAGCAAATTGAAAACAAGAGTCTAGTAACTATTAGGATGCAATAAAAAATACATTATATTACATATATTCAATAAATTATTATATCTTGGAAAAAAATTGAAATATATTGAATTGAAATGAATTGAAATATATATATATATATTGAAATATTTAAAATATTTATTTATTATATACTTTGATTAATGTGTTCATTAATTCAATTTGAATCATTCTGAATGATGAAACCTTTATTTTGTATCCTTATATGCATTCTTGAATGCAGGAATATCCTCTTCTTCCATCGTTGTACCCAAAAGCACTATTTGTGCAAGCTGCAGCAATCCATGGACGTCCACACAATTTAAACGAACGTGACTCTAATTTAATAAAAAATATCTAAGACAAAACTCTAATTTATATACTTCAAAAATGCAATGACTCGACTATTAATTTATTTTAATAAGAAAAATGCAATGAAACTCTAGTTTTAATCTAATGTAATAAAACAATTCCAATGACTCGACTTTTAATCTAATTTAAGAAGAAAATTGCAATGACTCGACTTTGAATTTAATTTAATTATAAAACTGCAATGACTCGACTTTGAATTAAATAGAAAAAAATGCAATGACTCTATTAGTTAAATAAAAATAGCAAAATCTAGATTTTAGTATTTAAAAGACTCTAATTTTTCACGAACGCGAGTGTGGAACAGCGTTGGGAGATGGAATGGTCCATCATCTCCATTCAGGAACAACTTATAACTAATACTACTACGAGC